GGGGGGGGGGTGTCCCTCGCCCCTCCCCGCCCTCACGTGTCGCCGTCCTCGGTGACGAAGCTCAGGACGTGCCGCAGCCAGGCCGCGGGGTCGGCGAGGGGCTCGGGGGGCTCCGCTCCGGGGCCGGCGGGCAGCGGCGGCCCCAGCGGCCCCTCGCCCAGTGAGCCCAGCCCGCTGTCGCACCACTCGTCGCCCTCGGGCCGCTTTGCCTCGCCGGGGGCCGCCGGGGCCGCGGGGGCCGCGGCCGCCATCGCCGGGGCCACTTCAGGCCGCGGCCGCCATCGCGGACCGGGGAATCCCCGCCCCGGCGCGTGCCGGGACCCGTAGTTCGCGCCCGCGCTTCCGGGTGTCTTAGCCAATCAGCACCCTCCGTCTGGCCGCGCCTACTTCCCCCACCAACCGGAGCCGCCGCGAGTGCGCGGGGCACGCCGGGAGTTGTGGTGCGGGCGGCTGCGCCCATGGCGGACCCGGACAGCACCGGGGGTGGCGGGGCCGGGCCAGGCCCGGGGGGTGGGGCCCCCTCTCCTCCCGCCCCCGCCGGTGACCCCCCAACTGTCCCCGCAGCTCTCGGGGCCCGCGAGGAGGAGGCGGAGCAGGACGCCGAGTCTCCGGTAACGCCCCCGGGTGTCACCCCGGCCCCCACCCCGATGACCGCCCCCGACTCCCCCGGTGATCCCTCGCACTCTTCCCCGCAGGTTTCGGACCCCGAGCCGGGCGCTTCGGCCGACGCTGACAGTGGGTCTGGGGGCGCCGGTGTCCCGTGGCCGTGGGGAGCCCCGCGCTGGGCCTTTGGGGACACTTTCGGGGACCTTTTGGGGACAGTTTTGGGGACATTGTGGGGCCTTTGGAGATATTTCGGGGGCTTTGGGGATCTTACGGGTCATTCGGGGGTATTTCCAGGACAGGGCGGTTGGAATAGGGCGTTTTGGGACATTATGGGCTTGTCGCAGGTCCTTTGGAGTTACTCGAGGGATTTTTGAGGACATTTCTGGGGACTTTCGGGGACGCTTGGGGACATTTTTGGTGAAACCTTTGGGGGACATTTTTGGGGGTTTTAGCACGCGGGGGTCACTTTGGCGACTGTTTGGGGACAGTTCGATGTCCCCGCAGTGGAGCTGCTGCGGACGCTCCTGTCCCGGACCCTGGGGCTCGGAGGGGACAAACCGGAGCCGGTGCTGGACGAGCTGAGCCTGCAGGGCGTGAGCCGCTTCCTGAAGAGTGACCGCTGTAGGGACACCGGGAACGGGGATGGGGACGGGGATGGGGCTGGGAATGGAAATGGGGGGCACCAAGAACCGGAAGGGGGCAGCGGGAAAATCGGGCATGGAGGGAGGACAAGGGGAATGGGGGAAGGAGGGGTGCGGCGGGGACGGAGCGGATTTGAGGGTTCACAGTGCTGGAGGGAAAGGGCAGTTTTAGGGTTCTTGGGGGCGAATTTGGGGTTCACCCCTGTGTCCTCCCCCCAGGTAAGAACGTCGTGTGCATGGTGGGCGCTGGCATCTCCACCTGTGAGTGCTAATTTTGGGGGGGCCCAGAGGGGGCTCGGAGACACCCGGGTTGGGTCCTGAGCCCCCTGACCCTCCCCAGCCGCTGGGATCCCGGACTTCCGCTCCCCCGGCACCGGGCTCTACTCCAACCTGCAGAGCTACGACCTCCCCTACCCTGAGGCCATCTTCGAAATCGGTTTCTTCAAGGTACCCACCCCCCTTTCCTCCCCAAATTCCGGGTTTCTGGGGGCACTCCGAGGCCCCCTGACCTCCCTGTGCCCCCCAGAAACACCCGGAGCCCTTTTTCGCCCTTGCCCGTGAGCTCTATCCAGGGCAGTTCAAGGTAAAACTCTCCCAAATCTCCTTCCAACCGCCCCCACTCGGGGGGGTCCAAGAGAACCCCAAATGACCCCCAAATTGCCCCTAGCCCACAGTTTGTCACTACTTCATGCGGCTGCTGCAGGACAAGGGGCTTTTGCTGCGCTGCTACACCCAGGTGGGACACACCCCCCCTCCCCCGCCGCTGGTTTGGGGGGTCACGGGGATTCTGGGGACCCCCTGACCCCTCCCCCGTGGCCCCCGCAGAACATCGACACTCTGGAGAGGGTGGCAGGGCTGGACCCGGAACTGCTGGTGGAGGCTCACGGCACATTCTTCACGTCCCACTGCCTGCGGCCCTCGTGCCGCCAGCGCTACGGCCTGGCCTGGATGAGGGGTAGGGGGGAGCTCTGGGGACCCCCGGGGACCCCTCCTTGTCCCCCTTCAAGTGACTGTGGGGGTGTCCCCACCTGCTGTGCCGCAGGGTGGTAACAGCAGGTCGATCTCCCCCCAGCAGCTCCCTAATATTCCTATGCCCCTCCCAAAATGCCCTTGTGCCCCCTCAAATCCCCCTGCCTCCTTTCTCCACTGAGGTTCCCCCTCCTGCTCCCTTCCAGAGCGGATTTTCTCCTCCCTTGTCCCTAAATGTGAGAAGTGCCAGGGGCTGGTGAAACCTGGTGAGTTTTCGGGGGTGGCTCAGTGGGAATCTGAGGGGGGTCTTCAGCCCCCCCCTCACCTGCTACACCCCTTCCCCAGACATTGTGTTTTTTGGGGAGAGCCTCCCCTCTCGCTTCTTCGCCCTCCTGGAGTCCGTGAGTGGGGTTTGGGGGGCCCTGAATCCCAATCCTCCAGCCCGAATTTGGGGTGGGGGGGGGTGAGGTGACCCAGGGACTCCCCTCTGTGACATCCTCTCCCTCAACAGGACTTTGAGAAAGTTGACCTGCTGCTCATCATGGGCACCTCGCTGCAGGTGCAGCCCTTTGCCTCCCTTATCAGCAGGTGAGACACCCCCGGGACCCCTCCCGGACCCCCCCCCCCAGACCCCTGAGACCCCTCCATGATTGTCCCCTCCCATAGGGTCCCCACCAACACCCCCAGACTCCTGATCAACAAGGAGAAGACGGGGCAGGTGAGGTGGGGGGACAGGTTGGGAGGCACTGGGGGGGGAGCGGGGGCTTGGAGAAGCTGCCCCACCCTTGTCACCCTCTTTGTCCCCTCCAGAGTGACCCTCTGATGTCACTGATGGGCTTTGGTGGGATGGACTTTGACTCAGACAAGGCCTACAGGTATGGGTCCCCCTTCTCTATGGCTTTGGGAACCCCACTGTGGCTTTGGAGATTCTCAGAGTAGTTTTGGGGTCACTCAAGGTAATTTTGGGGTGGTTTTGGCCCCCCCCCCCCCAGTTTTTTTAGGGCCCCACAAATGTGACTTTGGGCCCCGTGTGTTTGCACAGGGATGTGGCCTGGCTGGGGGACTGTAACAGCGGGTGCCTGGCTCTGGCTGAACTGCTGGGCTGGAAGGTACCCCCCTGACACCCACCCCTACCTACAAGTTTTGGGGGTCCCCCTGCCCCCCAGACCCTTCTGGGATTCCCCTGAACCACCATGTTTTCCCCTCAGGAGGAGCTCGAGGAGCTGGTGCGGAGGGAACACGCAGCCATTGATGCCAAGGAGGGGGACACGATTGGGGGGGATCCCCAAAAGCACCAGGGGGACGAGGACAAGGACGGGGGGAACCCCAGGAAGAGCCTGGGGGACAATGCCAAGGCTGAAAAGGACCCCAAAAAGCCCCAGGGGGACAAGGACAAGGTTCAAAGTGATCCTGAAAAGTGCAAGGGGGGCAGCAAGGACCGTCCCCAGAGCATGGGGGAGGCAACCCAAAATTAAGCAGTCACAGAGGAGGTTTTGGCTTTGAGTAGGCACGGGGGGGGGAGGATAGAGAGACTAGAGCTCTTTTATTCCTTCAAGGAAGAAAGAGAAAAACAAAAAAATATAGGAAAGAGGGAAAAATAAGTTAGAGAAAGAAAGGGGGAGGTTGAGGGTGCAAAAAAGGTTTTTTTCCTCCCCTGAAAAGGGGTGTTATATCTCCAAAATGCATGGGAATTCACAGGGAGGCTGTGGGGGATGTGGGTGCAAAACGCTGAAAACTTTAAAGTTTCTCAATTTTGTATCTACTGAGAAATAACATTAATTTAAATTCAAAAAATTGTTTCAAAATAAAGGTCTGTGTCTGCTGTGTGATACTTGGGATGTTGGGATGGAAGGAAGAGCGGATGTGGATTTGTGGGGTTGGAAAATGCAAACGTGATTTCTTTGGAACTCATTGTGTCCATGAGCCAAAATTGGCCAAAATTCAGAATTTTCAAAATTCAAAGTTATGAATTGGATTTTTTCCTTCTGTAGAGGTAAGAACTGACCTTAGGATGGACTCACCTGCCAGAGCAGATTTCTCAGTGAAGTTCTTGCCTGTATATTTTAGAACTCTCCCCTATTTACCATGAATGTGCAATCAAGAAGTGTTGATGACAAATAGAGTACAGGAGAAATACCATCTGTAGTTTGGGCTGGCAGAGATACTTCAAAGAGGGTTGTTACCACCAGAACCTGCTGACATCAGTTCTACGGCTGTAAGAACAACATAAAGGGAGAAAATCTCAGTGGTAAAAGGAGATCCTTGGTCCAGTTCGCTGGAGAAATAAGAGGAAATTACTGAGCTTTACTAACATGAAATAAAAACATGATTTACTCTTTGCAAGTGAGTATCTCGCCGTGGCTTTGAAACGTTATGAGATTTTAAAGGTTAACAAAGCACAGTGAGGCAGTCCTGGGTCGAGTTCTTCACAAGTACAGCTTCTTAACAAGCTGCTCAAACAGCTTTTAAACAAAGACTTGAGGAATTCAAAGGTTGTTCTGAATTTCAGCAGGCAGAATGCTCATGCCTGCAGATCGACCACTTGGCAATTGACTGCTAATGGCTGCCGATCGATTGCCAATGCCTGCTGATCGATTAGATCGGCGATCGATTGATGATGCCTGCCGATCGATTAGATCGGCGATCGATTGATGATGATGATGATGATGCCTGCCGATCGATTAGATCGGCGATCGATTGATGATGCCTGCCGATCGATCAGATCGGCAACCGATTGCTGATGCCTGCCGATCGATTATATCGGCGTTCGATTGATGATGCCTGCCGATCGATTAGCTCTCATACAGACCTATCTTGTTTGGTCAAAAAAAAAATCTTAGTTTAGTTTCGTCCAAGAAATGTTACTACTCTGTGCGAGCTCATGGGGAAGCTTTTATT